TCTCAGAGGATGCTGGCAAAGAGAAGGGGAAGAGCGAGATAGAGAAGGTAGAGAGAAAGACAGAGAAAGGGAGAGAGAGAGGAGAGGGAGGAAGAGGAGAGAAGGAGACAGAGGAGAGAGGGAAGGAGGTGGGGGAGAGATGGCCACATGGGGGAGGGGGAGGACCTGGAGAGGTGGGATAGAGGAGTGCTCTTTGGGGTGCTGGTTTGTGTGCTCTGGGGAGCTCTCTCAGGGTCTTGCCTGGGGCCATGTGCATGGGGAGAGTTGGGTCTTGGGAAGCCTTGACAACAACAGGACTCCATCTCTGGCCTTGAGGCCACAAGCTCACATGGTTTTGCCTGTGGTGGCAGGCAGTGGGTGTCAGGGTGCTAGACTCCCCGGTCAGTCTGGGCCCACACCCCTCCCCTTGAGTACAGTCAGCTCTGAGTGGGCTCCTCGGAGCCACCTTCTTCTGGAGTCTCTATGTGAGGGACTTCGGGGGCTCACCACGTGGGCCCTTTGGCCAGCTCCTCAGAACCAGAGCCAGCTTGTTGGTGCTCGCTTGTTAAGGCCTTATTCCCAAGCGGGACAGCGTCACATCTTTCCACCTCGGTCAGTGGGGTTGCTCTTGGTTTTGCTTTGACAGTGGATTTGTTGTGAATTGCAACATGAAATTCAGCCAAGGTGAGTCTGATGAGGAGGGTTTGGGATCAAGGTGCTGCCACTGCTCCTTTTACAGTGAGTAGCTCCAAAGGACCAGCACTCCCTTGCCCCGTCTCTCCCAAGTATGCACCATCTTAGGAAACGAACTGTAAAAGGGGCAGAGTAGACTTTGTGGGCTATCTTTGGAATGTCCCCTGTTCCTCTCTGATCGTGTAGGTGTGCGGCTCCAGGACAGTCCATCCCCACCCATCGGGAGCTGTCTTCTATCATCCTTAGATCTCTGTGCTCTGGGGATAGCCACGGCGCTGGCACTGCTGGTTGGGCCCTTCGCTAAGCTCCCACATTTTGTGTTAGGGAGCAAGGATTTTCACAGGCTCATAGAGCATTTTCTTCCTTGCTAGGGTCGAGGACACTAGAAATCATCTTCTCCTGTTCCCTGTTTTTACAGATGTTGCCATCAGGACCCCAAGAAGAAACGTAGCCTGCCGGTGTCACTGAGGAAATTAATTCCCAAGCAGGTGTCCGGCGCCTGGGTCCTGCTCAGACCCCAGTCTCTCCTCTGGTTCTCCATGGCCCTCACCTCCCATTTCTTTCCATTTCCCAGCAGGTTCTGGTTGAACTTATGGCTTTTTTTGCTTTAATTGACTATGAATTTATGTCCCCTAAAAAAGAGATTAAGTTGCATCATTTCTTCTTATCAGGCAGTGCCCAGAAACAACATAGCAATTGATAAAGACTTTAGGGTTAGTGCAGGGAAGACTGGGAAACAGGTACTGATTAAAGGTAAGTGGGGAGCGGACCCCTCCTCCCACCCAGGCTCACAGAGGCTGGCTGGGTTCTGTCTGGGTTCTGTCTGGGTCTAATCTGGGTTCCGTCTGGGTCTAATCTGGGTTCTGTTTGGGTCTGATCTGGGCTCTGTCTGGGTCTGGTCTGGGTTCTGTCTGGGTCTGGTCTGGATTCTCTCAGAGTCTGGTCTGGGTTCTTTCTGGGTTCTGTTGTTCTGGTTTGGGTTCTGTGTGGGCCTGGTCTGGATTCTGTCTAGGTCTGGTCTGGTTCCATCTAGGCCTGGTCTGGGTTCTGGCTGGGTCTGGTCTGGGCTCTGGCTAGATTTTCTCTGGATCAGATCTGAGTTCTGTCTGGGTCTGGTCTGGGTTCCGTCTGGATCTGGTCTGGGTTCCGTCTGGGCCTGGTCTGGGTTCCGTCTGGGCCTGGTCTGGGTTCCATCTGGGTCTGGTCTGGGTTCCTTCTGGGCCTGGTCTGGGTTCCGTCTGGGTCTGGTCTGGGTTCCGTCTGGGTCTGGTCTGGGATCTGTCTATGTCTAGTCTGGGTTCTGTCTGGGTCTGGTCTGGGCTCTTTCTGGGTCTGGTCTGGGCTCTGTCTATGTCTGGTCTGGGCTCTGTCTGGGTCTGGTCTGGGTTCTGTCTAGGCCTGGTCTGGGTCTGATCTGAGTTCCATATGGGCCTGGTCTGGGTTCTGTCTGGATTCTCTCTGGGTCTGGTCTGAGCTCTGTCTGGGTCTGGTCTGGGTTCTGTCTAAGTTCTGGTCTGCAGCTCTGGTCTGGTCTGGGTCCTGTCTGAGCTCTGGTCTGGGCTAGCATCTGGCTGTTTCAAATGTTGAAACTAGGCACCCCGCACGGGGCTGAGAGGGCTTCAGTGGCCCTGGCTCTGGTAGTCTGTACTTGTTATCCTGGGTGCTCACGATCCCAGCCAGAAAAACAGTGCAAGACAGTGCACCCTGTGAACGAGAGCCCACAAGGACAGGGAGGCGGGCACATGTCCAGGATGCCAGCAAGCGGGCTGCACAGAACTCAGGGACGGGAAAGTAGGGCAGTGGGGGGTGGGGTGGGATGGTCCCATCTTCCTGTTTCTGTAAGGGGAAGCAAGCACAGGGCTGTGCAGGAGAATGATTTCCTTACATAAATACAGAGGGGTGTGTGTGTGTGTGTGTGTGTGTGTGTGTATGTGTGTGTGTGCGCGTATGTGCGTGCACGCACCCTGGATACTCAGAAAACCCGACTATGATGGGAAGGCTCTGACTGTGCTTCCTCGTCCCCTCAGCCCGGGACTCACTTTTAGACCTGCACAAGGTCACTGTTGCACCGGGCTGTCCCATAGCAGGGCAGACTAATGTCTACTGGACTTTGTTTCCAGAGCCACTTTGAAGATCCTTAAATCCCAAATGCATGTTTTTTTAAAAAAAAAGAAGAAAGAAAACCCAGTTTGTAATATTAGAGCAGCACAGCCCCAAACTGGGTCCTGTGTCCATGGCTGGACCCATAAGGCCCCGTGGAGGGGACCCTGTGGCCTAGTGGCGTGCTCTCTCTGTCTGGTGCATATTCTTGCAATTCCAGTTTGGTGGCTCTCAAGAGCAAGGCCAACCTGAGACCACCTGTCCTGCCTTTCCCATGAGAGGGCCGAATGCTCCCAGCATCTCCACCCTGTCCTGTTTCTGGCGTCCTGGGGGTCGTCACAGCCTGTGTGGGCTTCCTCCAGCCAGGGTGGTGGTCTGGGCCCCACCAGCGGACCCCAGCACTGGGGGTCAGCCCCATGCACTGTCAAAGGTGAGAGCCCAGAGGCTGTGCCCAGCAGGAGAGGTGGGCCCTGTGCTTGATGGAGTGAGAGAGGCTTCTCAGAGCCCAAGGCATGAAGTGCCCTCATGGGTGTCATGACCACGGTCAGTGGATGGCTGCTGGTGAGCACCATGACTGGGCGTCTTCAGGAGGCTCATAACTTTGAGAGGACACAGCCTAAGGGAGGTTCGCTGGGGAGCAGCCCCACTTCCGCCCTGAATAGACAAGAGACACTCATTAGCAGGTACCCAGCATGTAGTGCTTTCTTGGTGATATCATGTGGGTCCCCAGGGGCCTGGATCCCCAAAGTACCCCAGCACTCTGTGGTTGGGGAGCTTGCTCCTGTGGAGGAAGGGTCTCTGTGGTCCCAGCTCTTCCATCTGCCTGTCCACGGAGGGTCACCTGTGGCTCAGCAGAAGAGCTGTTCTTGGGGCCCCCGGCCCTCCTCCGGCCCGGCTCACTTCTTTAGGTCTCAAGTGCTGCGTGTTTGTAAGCACTGTCATCCACAGCCCTGTGGTACCAGCTGGTTCATCTGCAGTTCTGAGCTGCTCTCTGGCCCCAGCCCTTTCTTCCTGTGCTTTCCCCCACCGGGATGGCTCTCCTGGCCCTTCCTGGGGCAACAGCCGCCCTCTCTGTAATGATTTGCAGTGCCAGCGCAGCAAGCTTCCCGGCTGGTTCCACAGCTCTCTTACTCTCCTAAACAAGGCCTTAGGGACTCCACATCCAAATTAAGGTGGCACCTGGTGACAGGTTGGCATTTTCCGGTGTCCTATCTATGAAAGACAGGAAGACAGCAGGGAGCAAACTCCCCTGGGCCAGACTCTCACAAACACATGGGTTTGGGTGCCCAATTGGTGACTGGGAGAAAGTCTAAAACAAGGGACTGGGCCAAGGACCCCATGGGTCCCTGTCTCTTCAGGTCCCTTGAAACGTGTGGGAGCCAAAATTGCATTCACACGATTCTTGATTATATAAGCGTGCATTCTGATCTGATACTGCACTGAGAAGTGCCCCTGGGTTGGGATGCATTATCTATGCACCCAGCTGCTTTTGTTTTATTATTTACAGCACATTTAAACAGTCTATTTGAGAAAACATTAATGTGGCCTTCCTTGGGATGTGTAGCTTCTCCCCTTTTATAAAGCTCTCAGATGGAGACTTGGCAGAAATTCCAAAGCAATTTGGTGTGGCTGCAAAATGACAAACTTTTTAAATTATTAATTGGGGTTAATAATATATTGATTATTTAATTATATGTTGATTATTTATAAATAAATCATATGTACATAATGTATACTTATATAAATATATAAAGCATAAATAAATAATTTGTAGATGCAGTAAGTGAATTATTAATTAATACAGACACGTGTACCATATTGGTGTGGGAGCAAACTGGTAACAGGGCAGCTCCAGGCTGGGTTCGCACACATTGGCTGAGGACCTGGGCAGGTCACCGGGTCCACTGGTCATCGCTCCCTCACTCTGAGATGGGAATGGTGGATTCCTCACACACTAGACAATGAGTGGGAAGGTGCTTTGTAAGTCTAAAGCATTACACACATGCTGGTAATTATCATTATTATAACCCGTGAAATGCAATTGAAAACGTGGACCAGGGAATTAAAAAGACATGAAGTGCATGTTCTTCCCTGGAATGCAGCCTTTTCTACTCTGGGACGTCGAAGGCTACTTCAGCCTCAGTCACGTGTGCTTCAACATTTGCACATTTACCGAATCGGAGATAAAACAAAATGAAATGAACATGCATATGATCTGCTTCTTGCAGGATACAAGACCCTTCTGAAAGGAATTTCTGGGAAGTTCAACAGTGGTGAGCTGGTGGCCATTATGGGTCCTTCCGGGGCAGGGAAATCCACACTGATGAACATCCTGGCCGGATACAGGTGAGCATCCCTGCCCGGGGGGCAAAGTTCTCACCTGGTGTCAGGCCAGCAATGGAAATAGTGGGGCTTTTTCCATCAGCCCCATCACCTGGAGCAGGCTGTGGTCTACAGTGGTAGCTTCTTAAAGCTCTGCATACACAGGCTCCAGCGGAGCACAGGGTGCGTTTCGGATCAGGAAGCTCTGGAATCTGTGAAGGAAACCGGGTCCAGGGGAGAGAATGACACTGAGAGGCTGCACTTGCGAAGGGCCGTGTGCTGAGTAGAGAGCCATGCTCAGAGAGGGGTCCCTGGGCAGAGTGGCCACAGCAGCCACTCTCTTCAGCCCGGCCACAGGGACAGGAAGACGTAGGAAGGTCAAGGTCAGGGAGAGGGGTGGCCGCAGAGCTTGGAGAGAACAGGAGTGAATGCAAGTTGAAAAGAGACAGGGCATTTTCAGAAGAGAATGAGAACTGTTTGGCTGGGGCTTGTGATGGTCAGAGTTGTCTAGAAGTTTGGGCTGGGCGCGGTGGCTCACTCCTGTGTTCCCAGCACTTTGGGAGGCTGAGGCAGGTGGATCATCTGAGGTCAGGAGTTTGAGACCAGCCTGGCCAATATGGTGAAACCCCGTCTCTACTAAAAATACAGAAAAAAAAAAGCTGAACATGGTGGCAGGTGCCTATAATCCCAGCTACTTGGAAGGCTGAGGCAGAAGAGTCACTTGAACCCAGGAGGCAGAGACTGTGCCACTGCACTCCAGCCTGGGCGGCAAGAGTGAAACTCCATCAAAAACAAACAAACAACAATAACAACAAGAAAAAACAAAGAAGTTTGGTGACTGTTGTGCCCAGTGTCATCCGTGTGGGAATGATTAGAAAACTTGAATTAGAATCTTTAGAAGTGTTTTTAAAATGCTCTGTTAAAGTCAGTTATTTTCATGTCTAATGGGTTTTATTTACTGACTTTGGCAAACAATAATTTCATTTACTGAAAAAATGGTAAATACCACCCTTTTCCTTAGAGTTTCTGAATTTGACCTTAATGCCAGAAAAAATCTCACTTATGGCAATTCTCTACCTGTGAGAGTCACACCTAAAGGTTAAAGCTGAGTTCTCAGAGGGATGCAGGGCCAGAGGGGACTGGGTATCCTTGCAGGACAGCTGTTTCTGAGCTCATCAATGCGCCCACACCTTCTGGCAGCCTGATGGGGGCTTGGCATCCCAGAGCTGTGGAGGCAACTCAGGAGGGGGCCTTCAGGCCTGGGGATCCAGGGGAAGCCAGCTGACCCCCGCCTGTGCCTGGAGGAGTGAAGGGACATGGCCGCAGGCCCACAGTCATAGTAACAAGCTGAGTGAAGCTAGAAACCAGGCATGCTTTCATTAGTCTCCGTAGAGTCTCCTCAGTTTGATTCTCCATCGCATCTAGGAGGTAGGGCCAGAAAAACTGGATCTTAGAGGCATAGAGCATAGACTACCTGTGTCACACACCAGCTCCTGGGCTGCACTGATGTACCTGGAGGAATGGCAGGGGGCAGAGGCGCACAGTAGGTCTGCAGTGAGCAGATGAACCAGCCAGTGAATGACTGTGCCTGGTGAGGCCGTGCCTGCCTCACAGGAGCACCTGGAGTGCTCTCAGCCTGCTCACCAGAGAGAATTCTCCCTTCGGGAGAAGGGCCATTCGCTCGGCTAAGCGGGTCCCGGCCTCGGGCTCCAAGCCCCTGTCTGCTGGTGCTTCTTCCCAGGCCTGACGTCTGCAGAAGTCTGGCCTTCAGGCAGTAGGCGCAGCCCGAGCTACACACAGAATTGTTGAGAAGCCAATCTTACAAACCCCCACAAATCCAGGGGCTGTACATCCCCACCTTGTGGCTGTGTATAGCACTATGCCTGCCTGCGTGTCTTTGGTAGGTCAAGACAGAGCTGCTGTCACCCTGAGTATAGATACACCCACAGAGGCCTGTGTGTGCCTTCCTCTTCCCCCAGGCACTTTCTTTGTGGAATTTCTTCCTCCTGATGGCCGCAGTGCTAGCGAGGCCAGTCCCTTTCTGCCCCTCAGGGTCCCTGTGGCCCGTGGTTCAGCTGGGAAGATGCTGGGAGGTGAGCCCTGCTCTCTGGCTCCCCTCTCCTGGCCCGGGAGGCATGGGAGCAGCAGGAGCCGGCTGATGGCTTCCCCTGTCCTTGGCTCTGCAGGGAAACGGGCATGAAGGGAGCCGTCCTCATCAACGGGCTGCCCCGGGACCTGCGCTGCTTCCGGAAGGTGTCCTGCTACATCATGCAAGATGACATGCTGCTACCACACCTCACCGTGCAGGAGGCCATGATGGTGAGCTCCCGTGCCGCCCCGCCCGCCCCTGCCACCCCGCTGCCCCCCAGCCCCCACATCACACAGCACTGGCCACGTGCCCAGCTGCGAGAGACCCGAGGGCTCTGCCAGGCAGCCTGCACGCAGTCAGCACTCTCCCTCTAGCAGAGCTCTAACTCCAGGCTTGCTGTTGGGACAGGCAGCTTCATCCCCAAACCCCCAAGACCTTGAGTTTAATGGGCCTTGTTTGGCAGGGTTGGGGGTCAAGTTTCTGAGAAGGTTAGTAACTAACCCAGCTGACTTGGGTGGTCCGACCCAGGGCAGCCAACATCCCATTTCCCCTGCAGGCCAATGCTTGGGATTCTCCTTCCCATCAGCCATCCTTGAGTCATTCTGTGTCTTTGGCCCAAGCACCCACTCACCTGGTGTCTTAGTCAGGACCCCAAGGGTCTATTCCTCTGAATCAGCTGCCTGCCAGGTGGGAAAATGAAACCAGCAATGGCCGAGCATCTCCTGGGTCCCTGGCCCCAAGCACATAGCTCTACACACACCAGAGAGGTCATCCCAAGAAAGTGGGTGAGAAATGGAGCTTCCCCCAGTTACGCAAGGAGCCCAGGGTCACATGGCTGCTGACGGCCACGTGTGGCCAGAGCTGTCCATCTCCAAAGGTGCACCTGTAACTGGTAGCTCGACCTCCTTGCTGCGCACCTGCTTCACCCTCACAGCCTCAGTGTCCTCATCACACAGGGTTGGCGTAAATACTGAAAGGGAAGATACAGGGAAGGTGGGGTGGAATTCTGGCATACAGTTGGTGCCTAATCCATTCAACATGGTGACTGTTTCTTTTCACTGCTAGTAAGCCTTCCCATTGTGTCTTCACTTGTGTTGTCTGTGGATAAGTCCAGCATTTGGGGAAGTTTAAAAATACCTTCCCCTCTTGGAGCCACAAAAGTGTCCAGGAGGTGTCCTATGCCTGGGTTTCTGAAACAGCTGGTTGCGTTCCTTGGGCAGACCATGACCCAGCCAAGTGCCATGCCTGTGGGCTTCCAGGGCCTTTTTTTTTTTTTTAAGACAAAGTCTTACTCTGTCACCCAGGTTGGAATGCAGTGGCGCGATCTTGGCTCACTGCTACCTCTGCCTCCTAGGTTCAAGCAATTCTTCTGCCTCAGCCTCCCAAGTAGCTGGGACTACAGGCGCCTGCCTTCATGCCCAGCTAATTTTTGTATTTTTAGTAGAGACGAGTTTCATTGTGTTGACCAGGCTGGTCTCGAACTCCTGATCTTGTGATCTGCCTGCCTCGACTTCCCAAAGTGCTGAGATTACAGGTGTGAGCCACTGTGCCCAGCGGGGGCCATTTTTTGTTTGTTTTTTTAAAGGCTCAACTCATGGTGACCGAGACTGCACAGACCTAACTGTGGGCAGAGGTGGCCATGAGAATCCTCCCATCAAGAGGAGATTGAAAATCAGCGTGCAGCTCCGGTTGCCAGTCATGGCTGGCTCTGTGTGGGGGACTATATATTCTTCTGCTTCCTCTTTATTCTCTGCAAAAAAAGAGTCTCCAGGCTTCGTGTCCCTCCTGGCACTCGAGGGGACATCCTCAGTTCGGTCTGCTCTGTGCTTTGGTCAGTAGATGGGGGTTCACCTTGGTTTTCTGCTTGGAGAGACCCTACTTGGCCTTCCTGACTGGGGTTGGGCAAAGCTCCCTCCCCGTGGTGACCGAGAGTGGAGCTGCCTAGAGTGTCACGTGAAGGGCAATGCCAAGGGGTTCTTAGCTCAGCAAAGAGGTTCTTAGCACAGCAAAGAAAAGCAGGTTACATGTACAGACACGTGATCTGCTATCTCACCTTCTTTGTGGGGAAACAGAAAGAGAGGAACCTGCAAGGCTGTTCCGACTTGTGTTCCCTGGTCCTGCGTGTTCTGTGGGTAAGCAGATGCCATTCCCCTGGGCTGAGCCTCCCTAGGCGCTGTGTGCCCCGTGGAACTCTGACTGTTGATCTGGCCTCCAAATGGACATTCAGATGGGGCACAGAGGACCTCTGAGGAGTTGGCATACATACCCTGCAAAGTAGCCGTGAAGTTTTTCTTTACCCTGCTGTTCACTGTTCCATGTGTGCTGTAAATGCAAGCTTCATGCACACCCTGTTGATTCCTGAATTGCTCCTGCCTCTTGGGTGGTGTGAGTTTGGCTTCTCAGTGAGTTCTTGAGTGAACCCCATGGCCATGTGCTCGAGACCCAATGGCTGCTTTCTCCGCAGATGTGACTAGTGACCCCTGCTGTCTTCTCTGTCCTCTCCAACCTCGCCACCGGACCCGCTGTGAAATAATCTATTTTCAGAATCAAATTCAGTTCGATTTTGATTCTGAGAATTTCATGAGGCCTTCGAGAAATAGTCTGCAGCTATGGTATGGGTTATCACTCAAGGTCCTGTCCCACACGGAGGAGATACTGGCCACCTGTTGGGGAGTTCCGATCCCACATCAGACACAGTTGTGCATTTTTACGCTCTTCACCCTCGCAGCTGCCAGGCAGACTGAGGTATGATAGGCAGTGTCACACGCAGGCAGCTGGCTCTGCCCAGGAGTGTGGGTCTGACTCTGTCCAACTCGGGGCCTAGGACCTCTTTGCCACGCCCCCCTGCACCCCACCCTCTCCTCTGGTCCTCACAGCAACTTCTCTAGCTAATGAGGTAGACAGAGCTTAACTTCACCATTATGCTGGTGAGGAGACGGAGGCTGCGTGTTTGCCCAAAGCCACAGAAGGCAGGAGGGTGGAAGCCAGGCCGACCCTGGGCATGGTGATCTCTGCTCTGGGTTTTCCCAGGCAGGGCCAGGAGCCAGCACTGTGCTAGCAAACAGGATCTCAAAAAACACAACAACAAAATGTGGCATCCCAGTATGTCACCCTTGTAAATTCCTGTGGTGTAAAGACTCTCTGTGGATAAGTTCAAGCCTCAGCAGTTTAACATATGGTTTATGGAACTCCTAACTCATACTACTGGTTCTGCCCAGGTGTATCGCCAAGCCCCTACCTCTAAATTGTCCATATCTGACTTCTCCCCTGGGTACAGCAGAGAATTCCACTGAGATAGCTGGAAGCATTGCACATGGACTGCTCTCCTGCCACCCTGCCACTATTAAAGCAGGGGACATGGGAAGCCAAGAACTCCTTGGGTTTTCCATGGCGATCAGCAGGCTGCACTGTGGCTAGCTGCACTGTAGCTAGCTGCACCGTGGCTAGTGGCATCATGGCCAGCGGCACTGTGGCTAGTGGCACTGTGTCCAGCTGTACCATGGCTAGTGGCACAGTGTCTCGCTGCACTGTGGCTAGTGGCACCGTGTCAAGCAGCACTGTGGCTAGCTGCACCATGGCCAGTGGCACTGTGGCTAGCTGCACCACAGTCTGCAGTGCGGGCATGAAGCTCACCCTGCTGATGGCCGTCTGTTCTGCTTGTACACTGCTGTCCTTGTCCCCCGCAGGTGTCGGCGCATCTGAAGCTTCAGGAGAAGGATGAAGGCAGAAGGGAGATGGTAAGTGGGTTGTTTGGGGCCCGCAAGAGGTCCAGAAAGTACATGGGGCACATGTGGAAAGCGTGCCTACCGGGGTTTTTGGCACTGGCTTTTATTTGTGGATTTGTTTTTGCCTTGCCTTCCGTGTGTGGGACAGGTGACATTTCAGGGAGCACTGTGGCCTGCAGCAGCCAGAGGCCAGGAGAGGTGGATCTGGCGCACAGTCATGGCTTTGATTCTGAGATGCAGGAGTCAGAATGTAACGTGAGGGACGGCAGCCTTGGCACTCATGGGGCCAAAAGATGCCAGCTTCAGGGTTAGACCACGAGTGCTGCACCTTTTAGTGTTTAATATGATCTGTATTCAGTATTTTATAAGACAATAACAATGAAGATGGTTAGTCATTCATTTAAAAATAACCACCCTCTACCCACCTGCACTTGCAAGAAGAAATTTAGTTCTTACGTGTTATTAACCAGCCTTTTAAAAAAGAAAATAAAGACGTTTCCAGGATGATGAAGACTTTCTAATCCCTGTAGCCATTTTTTTTTTTTTGGCTTCATAAATTCAGGGGCAGGGACGGGGGCAGGTGGGCAGAGCCAGGGGGAGCAGCAGAAAGCCACACAGGAAGGAGCCCACCAGCCTAGGCTCATACACCCTCCCTGGGAAGCCCACTGCCCTCTCCACTCCGGCTAGTGCTGGTGGGATTTTCAGCATGAGATGGAATTTGGGGAACCTCCCCTTCTATGAGATTATCTTTCTCTCCTAACACCCTTACCTGACCGTAGTCCGGCCACTGAGAGTGAGGTTTGCCGGGTTAGTGCCAATGGCTCGCCTTGGCCCTTTGTGTTCTGGTTTAAATGGAGTGATTGACGGGATAGAGTCAAACGTGCTGAGAAACATCCACAGCAATTCTATTTTCATCATTTGCCCCTCTGCTGTGGTGTCTGACAGCTAATATTAAGTAAACGTAAACCACTTTGCTATGGAGAAGAGAGTCCGACAACCTTAATGCTCCTTCTCCCCGCCTCTGCCCGGCAACTGCACCCTTCGAAACTCAGGATTCAGCCCATGTCATCGGGGTTGGGGGGTCAAATGCCCAGTGCAGGTAGAAAGAGCCCAATGTCTGAGAGAAGTAAAATAACGCTTCATTGCTACAGAAAATGTTTTGTGTGGAATTCTTGTATTCTGAGATTGAAAAGAAAATGGATTAACGAAACCCAAAAGAGAGGAAATATGGAAATCACGTGTTTCTGGCCCTTCATGCGGACAGAAGACCCAGCCTTGTGACTTTATTGTTTAGGTTGAAAGGCAAGAACGCTCTCTGGACAGCGTTTTCTAAACAATGTAACGTAGACATCCCCCCCATACACACACACACACACACACAAACACACACACACATCACCACCCAAGCCCAAGAGTGTTGGTGATACCAAGTTATGGAAGATGAGTGTTATGGCCTGAGTCCCCCCAAAAAGATGGTATGTTCAAGCCTGTGCCCTGAAACCCAGAATTGGCTGTATTTGAAGATAGAGTCTTTATAGAGGTAACGAAGTTAAAATGGAGTCATATGGGTGGGCCCCAGTCCAGTCTGACTGTGTCCCTGTAAGAAGAGGAGAAGAGGACCCAGACACACCCCGAGGGATGATCCCATGAGGACACAGGAGGAGACGGCATCTGCCAGCCCAGGAGAGGGACCTCAGGAGCCAGCCCTGCTGCCCTCCATCCCAGACTTTGGCCTCCAGAATTGAGATAGGAATTTCTGTTGTGGAAGCACCTGGTGTGGGGTGCTAAATAACAGCCTTCGTTCTCCATACCAAAGGCATGCAGAAGAACACACAGAAAGCCAGCTGTCAGAGCTGAGTCTCGGCGAAGTCTTCCATGGGAGATGCACACAAATCAACAGAATGCGGGTCCCGGGCTTGAGCCAGGGTGACCTCCACTCTCCCTGTCTGAGGACAGCCTTGCCACCTCCCACCCCTGAGTCCTCCTTGCCTTCAGCTGCAGGACAAGAGGAGAAGCTGGCAAGAGTTCGCAGGGCCCCCACGAAGCAGAGGCTTTTCCACCCAGAGACTCAAGAAGCTGCTCCTTCTGAAGCCCGGAGGACCGCAGTGCCCCTGGGACAACCTCTCAGGGCCCTCCTCCCCATCCCTCAACCTCCCTGCTTTCAAGGGGTGTCGGAAGCACAGTCCAATCTCTTTGCCCTCCTTCAGGGTCCCAAAGACCCCTCCAGATGCTGGCCTGCAAGCTGAGGGGCAGCTGTGGGGTTCCAAGGAGAGACGGTGGAATCGGCCACTGATGGTTGGTGTGGAGGAGGGACCGAGAGCTCTGCAGCGTGAGGCACTGGAGAGAGGGAATTCTGTCTCTCTGATCCAAACCAAAGGCCTGAGGACAGAGCAGACGGGGGAGAGGGTCTCGGGGATCACCGGATTTGCGGGGAGCAGGCGTGGGAGGTGGAGGGCGGAGAACCCTGCTAACAAGGAGAGGTCCTGGAGTGAAGTGGAGTTGAGCACACAGGGGACCCCTCCTGGAACCCACTGATGGCCTTGGGCTACAGCCTGCCACGCACGAGCCGAGCTTCGCCTATAACGTGGGGACAGGGAGCCAGGCCCCACTTGCCTTTCTGGGCAGTGCCAACCTGAACTGTATGGCTTCTTTAAGGCCTCTGAGCTCAATGGAGCCCATGTGATCCCTATGGGAGGGACTGTGGGATTGCTTCCTTGCAGCTCGAGGTGACAGCCACCAGCATTTTCTGGCATAGCTCAGGAAAGACTCTCCCCGAGGACTGGGTACACAGGGAGTGCTCCTCAGCAGGGTCTGTGCTGAGGCCACAGAAAGCCAGGCCCTTCGCCTGCCGGAGCGAGAAGACCCAGAACAAGCCGGCATCTTGGCAGAGAATGGAAGCGCCTCCCGGGAGCAGCCACATGGGGCCCGAGGGCAGATGGCACCCATGGGTGTGTGTCCTTGTGGCACATGGGCCCTGCCTAAGACACAGCCCAGAAGACAGCCTCCAGCTGCTATCAACTGGGTTTACAAGGGCAAAAATATCGGCTCATGTGGCTGAATCAGCCCTGAGTGAGCCCCTGGCACCGTCCCAATTCCTCTGAGGCTGGACTGAACAGTGCGGAGAGCCCTCCACACAGGACGGAGAGGCCACACTGCATCCACCGCATGCTCTCACTAGCAGATGCAGCTGGACCCGCACTCCTGTTCCTCAGCCATGGCGCAGGTGCGCATCTCCCTGACGGGCCACCATCAGGAGGACACGGCAGCCATGTCATGGCTTCACTCACTTCCCTCTAGCCCCCGAGGTGCACATGGGTCCAAGTTCTGTCTCATGGAAATACAATGGGATGGAACGTCCTAGCAGACGGTGGAATAAGTTGTGCACGGCCTTTCTTGATTCCCAGCAAAGCAGCCTCAGTTCCCCAGAGCCCTCTAGCAAGCCACTTCCTCAGGAGTGAGGCCCCCAGGGGCAGCATGGCCTGCTGAGACCTTCCCTGGAGCACCCGCTGGGAGGCCCCAGGGGGCTGGAGCTACACTGGGCCTGCAAGTTTCTTGTTTGTTTAGGAAAAATGTATAAACAACCGAGATCATTGTTTGTTCTTTCTGACTAGTCTTTAAAATAGACCCACCTGGGTGGCGTCCCTCCTGAGAGGACTCTGGAGAAAGTGGGGTGGGCCCAGCTCATGAGCAAGGGTGCGGAGGGAAAGACACCCACAGCGGCCTCCGCTTCCAGCATCCCCTCTGTGAAAATGGAGGGAGAGAAGAAGATGTGTCGTATGTGTGGAGCCCCCACAGTTAGCCTGGAAGCCCCAGCTTTGGCCAGTGGTTCCAGAAGACCCAGTGGCCTCATCCTGGGACACCAGCAGAAGAGGGCCCTGCCCACCTTGCACACCCCCACCCGACAGCCTTTCCAGCCAGCCTCCTACAAGCTGTTTCTGGTTTGGTGGCCCTCAGAGCCAGGTGTCCAGTGGAGGCACCAGAGCTGGGACAAGGGCATCAGCAAGGAGCTCAGGACAGGGCTGGAGCCCAGGTCAGCTGACCCTGCACTGCCACCTGCCCCAGCCTGTCCAGCGGCCGTGCCCCGGTTCTTGTTGTCACCAAAGCTGCACTTTGTACTGACCGTGCATAAATAATTCAAAAGCCCAGAGTGGAAATTTTCTTCCTCGTGTATTCCTCCTCCCTTCGGATGACTTCATCTCGCTAGAGGAGCTGCTGGACTAGGGTCCGCTGGCTTTGGCCGAGAGGGCTGCCCCACCGGGGTGGGGACAACAGCTGGGTGAATGCTGGAGAGAGGCCCAGGCCGGCTGCCCCAGGGTAGGGAGGCAAGGATGGCAGTGGCTGACCCAGGCCTGCTTCTGAGAACATGCTGGGCTGAAAGCAGCACCAAGCCAACACAGAAATCTGCTGACCTCTGTATTCCCGGAGTCAATACAGGATCAATATTCCAGAGCACACGGGGGGCTCTGTGCACAGTGCCCTGCTTGGATCTTGGCATGCAGGCTGCTTCCTGGAGCCTGGGCCGAGGTGTAGCTGCTGTGGGTCATAACTGCTTTGAGGGGCACTGCAAATCTGTTTCATTGCCTTCTTGGCACCTTGGAGACCTTGCTTTCAAGTCAAACCTATTTATAAGAACAAAAGTGACGCTGTCCCCCTTCCTGAGAACCCTGGCACTTGTGACTGTGTCCCTACCCTTAACACCCACCTCAGCAATGACAAGAGCTCTGAGAAGAGCCTTCGAGGGTTCCATGCGGCTCTGCGCTCTCTGCATTCACTCTTTCAAGTAACAGTCACAGCGACCCTCCCTTCGGTCTGGGCAGAAACCACCAGAAATCGTGCATCCTCTCATGTGTCCATTCATCCATCAGTTCATCAACTGTTTACTGAATACCTTCTCTGTACAGGGCACTGGGCTAGGCTTAGCAGTGAGGAATGTGCCCTGGGCACCTGCCAGAGGCCTATGGCTGATGAGGACACAGGCCCTCGGGTCTGACCTCAGCACTGCTGCACAGACTCTGGGCAGCCTCTGTCCCTCATCAGGACTGCTGACGTGGAAATGGCACCTGCCCCGACTGGCACCAGGCAGCCTGGGGAGGGCTTGACTTGGGCAACCTCCATGTGGACCAGGCACAGTGTGTCCAGCAGGCTGAGGGCGGCCAGCAGGTCTCCCGCGTGGGCCGTGGGAGGTGGTGAGCTTTGGCTCGCAGCTCAAATAATCCAATGTCTTTGGTTCTGCCACCTCCAGGTCAAGGAGATACTGACAGCACTGGGCCTGCTGTCTTGCGCCAACACACGAACGGGGAGCCTGTCAGGTGGCCAGCGAAAGCGCCTGGCCATCGCCCTGGAGCTGGTGAACAACCCTCCAGTCATGTTCTTCGATGAGCCCACCAGGTAAGTCAGGAGCGTCTGGGCTGGTGTCCAGGAGCAGGAAGAAGCCCCTTTGTTCAGGTGACCCTGACATCCTGATGCAGCCTCAGAGGGGTGAGGTGAGCTCTGCTCGCCCAGTGGCTCCTCCTTCCATATGGGACCGCTGGGCAGAGGGGCTGACTTATACCCCCTCCCGCCTCTACTCAGAGACGTCCCTGCGCTCAGGCTGGCAACGCCATGTGTTGAGCCTGGAGATATGGTTTGGGGGAAAACCATACCCCTTTCATGATGCTTGTCTCTTCCATGATGCCAAGTTCCCCATGGCTCAGTCACTCCAAAGACCAGGATCATGGAACACCCTGGGAAAAGGTCTGTCTTCAGGTGTGTTCTGGAAACGCCTCGCACTTTAGCACATCAGAGGCTCAGAGATGCCCGCAGGACAAAACCCTCCCTCGGGTGCTCACCAGGCCTCTATAGCTACGGGCACCCTGATGCCTTTCCTGGGTGATGCCCTTTACTTTTGGGGCTCCCCTGGGGAGTTGCTGCCTGGAGTCCTGGCTCTGGTGCCCCTGGCCACGGGTCAAGCTCACCTGACTCCTGCGCGTGTCCTATTCAGTTGTACCTGGCAGAATGGGCTGCTGGGAACCAGGCTGCTCCTGAAATGACTTCAGCCAGACTTTGTGTGGTCTCACTTCTGCCACACACTCACCTCTCCAAAGTCCGGCTAGATGTGACAGCAATGTGACAGCGGCCTTCTGTGGGGAGGGGCTCACGTGTTTGTTTCTCTTGGGCCTGCACAGTACCAGTCTATAAAATAGTTCAGGAAAAGAGAGACCACAATGAGCCCTTAAGTAGCATCTTGCAGGCTGAATGTGTGGGCGCCAGGGGACTTCCCAGCACATACTTGTCCCCCCGACCTGTCACTTCAGAGTTGAGGGGCTGGGAACAGGAATAGGTCTGAGGGGCCAGGCAGGGAGAAGAGACAACAGAGGTCCCCAGGACACTGCCGGACAGTGAAACAGCCGCCAGAATCAAGCCCACCTGAGCTGCACCAAGGCCCCCTTCTATGGGGTGACACCCCATCACCAGCCCCCGAGATGGGAGATGAGGAGTGGGGTGGTGACTGCAGAGCACTGGACCACCGGAGGCCCAGCTGCCTGCCTGGACACTGGTGAAGTCCCCTCCTGCCCAGATGAGTGGGGACCCCCACCTCTGTCCTGGACTCTGGCAGCAAGGCTCGCTGGGGCTCCTCTGCTCTTGCCAGGAATAAAATGCAGCATGAAAAGCCCCACTGTGTGCTCCCCACTGAGCAGCCAAACAAACAGGAAAAGCAGAGTCCAGCCTGGGAGAGGGCAGCTGCAGCTGCAGGCCCCTGATGCCAAGCCCTCTTGGATAGGGACTCCCTGGGCCCCTGGGACCTGGCCAGTGGCTTGTCCCTGCCGCCCACAGGCGTCTCACAGTGCCCCCTTGACTTGCAGCGGCCTGGACAGCGCCTCCTGCTTCCAGGTGGTCTCACTGATGAAGGGGCTGGCTCAGGGGGGGCGCTCCATCATCTGTACCATCCACCAGCCCAGCGCCAAGCTCTTCGAGCTGTTTGACCAGGTATGTGGGCCCCGGGCCTCCCTGCCAGATCACCACTGCACTCACATCGGCCCGGTGACAGCGAACCCTGGGCACCGACGGCCTTCTGTTACCTCGTAGGGTGTCTTCATTTTTGAGAGTGTTTAGGTGCTAGGTTTTGTGAGACTTCTGGACCCACAGGCAGCGAAGGGGGCTGGGGAGCTGAAGTGGCTGAGCAGAGTCCTCTCTTGGTCCTGGTGGTGGGTCGTGGGATCCTAGGTGTCATCAGCATTGCCGGACTTCATCACCTCCCCTGTTAAAATGGGGGCGGGGTGACAGTTGTTTTCCAGAATGAATGACAGGTTACAGCATTTGCACAATATCATGTAGTTTATAAATATTAGGGTTTGGCCAGGCACAGTGGCTCTCCCCTGCAATCCCAGCCCTTTGGGAGGTCAAGGTGGGCAGATCACTTGAGCTTGGGAGCTGAAGAACACCCTGAGAAACATGGCGAAACCCTGTCCCTACAAAAGAAAAAAAAAGTGAAAAAATTACCGAGGTGTGGACACTCCTATAGTCCCAGCTACTTGGGACGCTGAGGTGGGAGGATCACCTGAGCCGGGGAGGTGGAAGTTGCACTGAGCCAAGATTGCACCACTACACCCCAGCCTGGGCAACAGAGCAAGACTCTGTATCAAAAAAAAAAAAAAAAAATCAGGTTTTGATATTAGTCTGAGCAAAAGTAGTCACAAAGGGATAAAATGTGTGTAGCTCCAAAATTTTTTCTGAGCAGGTGGTTAGCATAAAAAATAAAAAGCAAACAATATAATAAAATCATGCCTGGCCATGTGATATTCTGTCTTCCACGACTTATCATGGCTTTCCCTTCAAATTTTAATAGGGCCCTTGGGGGATAATATCAAGTGCTCAGGAGAAGAAGCAGCTGGTTGTTGGGCGGGCTGACTGACTGGTTGATTGATGAGAGCTCCCGCTGCTTTACGAGGAAGGCAGGGCTTGATCCCTTTCTCTTCTTACTTTTTTCCAGCTTTACGTCCTGAGTCAAGGACAATGTGTGTACCGGGGAAAAGTCTCCAATCTTGTGCCATATTTGCGGGATTTGGGTCTGAACTGCCCAACCTACCACAACCCAGCAGATTTTGGTAAGCGGAGCCCTGAGCAGCTTGGGGGACGGGAAGGGGATTTTCCTCCTCTGTGGGTTTCACTTTTAGCCGACGCCCCCAACTCAGAAATCACTTGAACATACCACAAATGGCTCAAGTGTCATCCAGTGATAAAACTTTTAAAGAACAACAAAATTAGCTTCCTTTCCTAGACACTAGGTAAAAGCATCTGGCCAGCCAGTCTCCGCCCCTCTCCTGTCTGTGTGTGCTGATCGCCCGAGGACAGCAGTCTTTGGATTTAGGCCCTAAGTCCAGGATCATTCATCTCCAGATCCTAATTACCTCTGCAAAGACCCTTTTCCAAATAAGGTTTCATGATGACGGTCCAGGTGGACTTCTCTCCTCCTTTACCTTCCAGCCATCAGCCTTAATCTGTCACTTTTCTTTAAAATATTTGATTTATACAATTTCCAGGACTCTATGTTTTCTACATTATTTCCCAAATTGTGTTCCATGAGCCAGTTCATGGGAAGTGCCTCTCACTCACAACGGGTAGGCTGTGATGGCGAGGAGAGAGGGCACGGGGTGCAGGGAGGGTGGTTTGAGGGAGGCGGGAGCCCCGGGAGGCTGTGGTTCTGGTTTCACGCTCACTCACAAGGGAGAGTAACAGATCAGTAAGAGGTCAGTAATGGATGCTGATGAGTGCAGCAGGGGAGGTGAGGTCTGAAGTCTGCATGGAGGTGAGAACCTGGAGGGATGGGTGGGCAGGAAGGAGAGGAAAGACATGGCGCATGGGGATGCGAGAGGTCCCAGAGAGATGAGGATGGTCCCTTCTGGGGCTTCCATTTCCTCAGTGTCATCTGACCAGAGAGTGGGTGGTGGAGTGAGGGAAGTGTGGCCCACTGTAGCGGGTGCGGGTGACCACAGGGGCCTGGAAGCATGGAAACGTTGCCTGGCAGTGCTGTGGGCTTGTTTGGAGCCCTTGAGGATAACTTTCTGGTGGAGCCAATGGGTCCTGGTTTGTGGTTTGATCTAGGAGGTATGGTGGCCCAATACCAGCTGGGAGGAAGCAGGTAGCTGGCTCTGCCAGAGGGAAGTACGGAAAAGGCAACAGCATTGGGAGCTTTCGGCCTCAGCAAGAATATTACTGGAGTGAGGGTCGAGGTGTCACACAGGGAGGACACAGAGGTAGGAGAGGGCGGAGGGCTTGTGAGAAAACAGAGGCAGGCAGAGGGATAAGACCACTTGCCACGGGAGTGTGGAAGGAGCCGCGGGCTGCAGAGGACGTCGAGGCGGGAGGAAGCCTTGGGGGAGCGAGTCGGCAGGCGGAGGGATGAGGTGAAGATTGAGATGCGGGAGGGACAGCAGGAGCAGGTGCAGAGTTGGGAGGCAAGTGCAGGAGATACTCACTGGGCTCTGAGAGGTGCAGGTCGAGGTTCCCAGGACCGCCAAGTCCCCAGGGTGCCAGCCACACGTGTGGCGGTGGGCATGTCCTCTGTGGTCTTATAGAACTGCTGCAGCTCTCATCACACCCTGCCAAACCACAGGCTCCTTAGGGAGGAGTCCTGCTTCCTTCTTTCTGCCCCCCTCCCCAGCTCCACCTTGGAGGCTGGCACAGAGCAGGCATTTAAGTACCGGCTGGATGAGCCATCAGTAGATGCACCCACCGACAGCGCAGTGTGTGTTTGCTTTCAGTCTCCTGACATGATAAATGGCCTGGCTGGGGGTTTGCGGGCCAAATGCTGGTTGACAAATGATTCTGACATCATGCCATCAGCACCGCCATGCGGCACCTATGTAATCACTTTAAAACATTCCCACTTGAAAAACGACTTTCGCATTTGCGCGATTGGGGCGTCTTTCCTGGAGCCTGGGCTGACCCCACTTCTGTGTCTCCTACAGTTATGGAGGTTGCATCTGGCGAGTATGGTGATCAGAATGGTCGCCTGGTGAGAGCGGTTCGGGAGGGCATGTGTGACTCCGACCATAAGAGAGACCTTGGGGGTGATGCCGAGGTGAACCCTTTTCTTTGGCACCGGCCCTCTGAAGAGGTAAAGCAGACAAAACGATTAAAGGGGTTGAGAAAGGTAATGCAAATCCCGAAGCCCCCCGGGGAGGCTGCATGTGGCGCTGTACATCGCTGCATGACAGCTCTTTCCGAGTGAGAAGGAGCCGTGGCTCCAGGCTGGCTTTCACCAGTCCCCTCTTGGGTGTGTCCACAGGACTCCTCATCCATGGAAGGCTGCCACAGCTTCTCCGCCAGCTGCCTGACACAGTTCTGTATCCTCTTCAAGAGGACCTTCCTCAGCATCATGAGGGACTCGGTAAGGCTGCCTCGCATCTTCTCCCGTGGCTCGGGAGGCCGTGGGTCATTTTCTCATAGACTCGTCCTGATGGAATGTGTTCCTTTATTCTCACACTGCTATAAAGAAATCCCCGAGGCTGGGCGCGGTGGCTTATGCCTCTAATGCCAACACTTTGGGAGGCCAAGGCGGGCAGATCACCTGAGGTCAGGAGTTTGAGACCAGCCTGGCCAACATGGCAAAACCCCATCTCTACTAAAAATACAAAAATTAGTGGTTGTGGTAGCGCACACCTGTAATCCCAGCTACGAGGAAGGCTGAGGCAGGAGAACTCCTTGAACCCAGGGGGTGGAGGTTGCAGTAAGCCTAGATCTCACCACCACACTCCAACCTGGGCAACAGAGCAAGACTCCTGTAGAAGAAAGAAAAGAGAAGAGAAGAGAAGAGAGAAGAGAGAAGAGAGAGAAGAGAAGAGAAGAAGAGAAGAGAAGAGAAGAAGAGAAAAGAAAAGAAGGAAAGGAAGGAAGGAAAGAAAGAAGGAAAGAAGGAAAGGAAGGAAAGAAGGAAAGAGAGAGAGAGAAAGAAAGAAGGAAAAAATGAAAGAAAAAGAAAAAAGAAAGGAAGAAAGAGAAAGAAAGAAAGAAAGAAGCATTTCTTTCTTTGATTCTGGAGAATTTATAAAGAAAAGAGGTTGAATTGGCTCATTGTTGTGCAGGCCATATAGGAAGCATGTCTGGGGAGGCCTCAGGAAACTTTCAATCATGGTGGAAGGTGAAGGGGAGGTAGGCAGATCTTACATGGCAGAGCAGGAGGAAGGCGGATGGAGTACTACACACGTTTAAACATCCAGATCTCTTGGGCCGGGTGCAGTGGCTTACGCCTATAATCCCAGCACTTTGGGAGGCTGAGACAGATGGATCATGAGGTCAAGAGATTGAGACTATCTTGGTCAACATGGTGAAACCCCGTCTTTACTAAAAAATACAAAAATTAGCTGGGCATGGTGGTGCGTGTCTGTAGTCCCAGCTACTTGGGAGACTGAGGCAGGAGATCTGCTTGAACCCAGGAGACGGAGATTGCAGTGAGCTGATATCACACCATTGCACTCCAGCCTGGGTAACAAGAGCAAAACTCTGCCTCAAAAAAAAAAAAAAATCCAGATCTCGCAATCATTCACTCACTGTCACAAGCACAGGATTGAAGGGGAAGTCCATCTGCCCCATGATCCAATCAGGTCTCAATTCCAACACTGGGGATTACAATTTAATTTGAGATTTGGGTGGGGACACAGATTCAAGCCATATCACTAAACTTTCAAATTACTTTTCTTCCATTTGCAATAGTCAGTGTTGACTGTACTGCTGCAGTAACAAACACTCCCAAAATGTCCGTGTCTCCCTCCATCAATATTTGTGTCCTGCTTATGTGAGGGGTGGCAACAGTGGGTTGCGTTGTTTCTCTGTCCCATAAGTCTTCTCACCTGGGGACAGCTCCTATCTGGACATGCCTTTCTGGAACAGGTCAAAGGAAAAGTGCAAGAGAGAAACCAAATGACAGCCCTTAAAACTTCCAGTTGGAGGTGGCAGATGGTCACTTGTACTCACATGCCATTGGCCTAAACAAGTCACATGGCCAAGCCTGAAACCAGGGCGCTGGGCAAGTCCATTTCTCCTTCAGGAAAGCACTGTGAATCATGAGGATTGGGGTGGAGAGGTGGGCAATTCCTTATAGGGAAGGAGGTGGTGAATACATGGGAATCATAATAATGTCCGCCAGGGAAGTGGACTATCTGGCCACCTGCTTAGGAGGTGCTGAATGCCTGGTGTGGCTTCTGGGACCTAATTTGAAAGACAGAGGGACTCACCACAGCCCATACCAGAGCACTTGAAGCCTCTGATACAGACACTTTTCCCTCTCCATTGCTTTTACCTTTCCACTCTTCTCAGGGTAGACTTGTTCTCCATTTTGAATCTTTAACAAAGGATAGTAGTTATGTCTGTTTTAACACAACAAAAGCCTGACATGTGTGCATATGTGTGTGAGCATGTATGTATGAATGTGTGTGAGCGTGTGCATGTATGTGAGTTGTCTTAGGGTTTGGCTTGTTTTTCTGGAGGAGAAGGGAGGATGAAGCCTGAGACCCACTGTCCAGAGTTCAGGGCCGCACACTTCCAAAGTCACAGCCGGGTTATCCTCCGCGCCGAGGACGGCTGTGCATGCACCGGGTAAGACGCGGCTCTGCCCCCAGGTCCTGACGCACCTGCGCATCACCTCGCACATCGGGATTGGCCTCCTCATTGGCCTGCTGTACTTGGGGATCGGGAACGAAGCCAAGAAGGTCTTGAGTAACTCGGGCTTCCTCTTCTTCTCCATGCTGTTCCTCATGTTCGCGGCCCTCATGCCCACCGTCCTGACATGTGAGTGATGGACTGCAGACTTCCTTATTTTCAATTCCTACCCAAGTATGGGGGCCTGAGGTCATGCCTTGACCAACAGATGAGTTTTCTAAACACAATGTTTTCTTTTTGTTAAATATTATCTTCTGTGTTGGCAGATGCAAGTTGTATTGTATTTGCTATTAAATAAGAAAATACAATATTTAAGCCAAAGGAATGAATCCCTAGTGGAAGAGTTTTAAGCATGGTGGAGGGCTGACGGGAGGGAGATTTCTCAAAGGTTCACTAATCAGGAGCCCCCTAACTCTACTGCTTAAGCATTACCTAGTCCAGTTGTTAAGACAGCTCTGCACAGCCCACTTAGGGAGCAGATGAGCTCTCCTAGATGGATCTCCACACAACTTCAGTTTGTTTACAAGGAGGCTGCCCTTGATCACTGTGGGCTGACAGCAAACACAGCTGCTGCTTCTCCAGGACTTCAGCATAAACAGCTCCTGCCTAGGTACCTCCTCCCCGAGCTGCCCCTGATTTCTAAGAGCAGCTTGCAGCCTTGCTCACGGAAAGGGACCACACTGATGCAGTTTCAGAAGAGGCAGACTCAGGAAGGGTAAGGACAGGCGTGAATCCTCGCATTCATCACTAAGATGATGCTTTGTATTCACAGACCTGCTCCCCACCCTGATTCTCCACTTGATGACTCTTCAGGTTACACGCACGGGTGGCGAGTTTTCCAGGATAGTAAAACATGTGCCCTGTTTGTTCAGTCTCTTGGTGCTGCAGGCCAGAACTGAGTTGCGAGACTCACGGCTCAAGATCGCCTGTTCGGATGTTGAACAGGCTCGCGGCGCGTGGCTGCTGACCCTTCTTCTTTGCTTTTCTATCTCCTAGTTCCTCTGGAGATGGGAGTCTTTCTTCGGGAACACCTGAACTACTGGTACAGCCTGAAGGCCTATTACCTAGCCAAGACCATGGCGGACGTGCCCTTTCAGGTGTGTTAGCCGGGGGGCTGGAATTGGAAGCCGGGGCAGGAGTTCTGCACGCTCTTTATATCGAGTAAGAGAGCCTGCCGAGGATGCAGGGTAGCGGGGGGAAGGACCCGACTTCCGCTGGGGGGGAAAGAGGCCGACTTCCGGAGCGCCTGCGGGGGCTGGGGGGGAAGGGGCCGACTTCCGGAGCTCCAGCGGAGATGTGGGGGAAG